CGCATCGCTACCGCCGTTCCCCGCCGTCATTCGTCGCCCGCAAAGCCCCGTATTGTCTCCAGCTGCGAGAATGCGAGCCGAGGGACATCCTGTCGCGAATCTCCGTCCACTCCGCTGCGCTTCGAGAGCCTAGCGTACGTTCGCATTACACGTGCACTTAGCTCATTAATTCAGCTGGCATCGTTGTCAGTGCACGATCTGACTGCCATTGTGGTGTCCCGAATGTGGTCAAAAATTGAGCAATCTCACTAGACGTTGGAGGGCTTAGGACGTGTACAGTATCTTTTTAGTTTGACCCCATCGAACTAACGAACTGATCACTAGAAGGCTCAAAGCTGCCCCACAAAAGATTACGGATCAATTGAAACAAAGAAATTCACAAAAAGATACCATCTATCACTTTGTTCCACATAGGTTACATGGAGAAGCATATATCGCCCAATAAGGTCAACCCTAAAATTGTATTTATTGCTGAACGAAACGACTGCGACTGTTATCCGGATCGTTTATCAGACGATGGAGGTACAGTAGAGGGTAGAAAGGAAAATAACGGTTTGCTTTTTCACTCTGATAACGAGCGATCAGCCGGTTTCTCTTCCGGAAGGCCGTTAGAGATGATTCGTACGGTTCCCACACTATAGTTCTCTCCAGTTCACCTATCTTGTGTTAGCAAATTTCAGGCCAATGAAAAATTTATTTGTTACAATTTTGTACATTTTGTGATCTAATCGTACCGAATTGCATCCCCATCTACCAATGTCAGATCTCCCGCTCCCAAGCTACCCAATACGGTAATATGCAGAACATACACTTTGCCTTGTTGTTGACTAACATTTGAAAATTGATGCCCTACTTACCTTAGTGGTATATACACAATCAGACGCATTCAGTTCATGGACTACAAGTGAGTAAGGAGGTTCATACACATCATTGGGGTTTGAAATGAGAATTTCGATAATGTACTTCATACACGGCATGTGAAATCCCCGAACTAGCTGCAAATTTCAACTTCATTCTGCGCGTACTTTCACAAACCTAACTCGGCTCTTGACTAATTGAAACTCAGTTTTCACTCTCTTCAGGGAAAGACTCTTGTACTAAAAGTTTTTCCTTTTCTACGGTAAATTGCTGGAAATTCGCCCTTTGTGTTTATAAAGCGTTTCCTGACTTCAAAGTGTCTGCTGAGTGACCATGCACATTGAATCCGTGAGCGTACGGCAACCCATTGAACGCCTCCTGCTCCAACAGAGCGTTTATGAATCTGTCGTATTCCGAACGGTATTTGATATCAGGCAAAATGGGTTCGTTGATAAAAAGGTACGAAGATATCACGCGCACATAACTAAACTGCTCCGCCTATTTCGGCATTACACGCAAAAAATGAGCAACTGTTTGCAATAGTTCGTTCGATGCACACATATGACTCACTCGTCTTCAATCGGTTTAAGCTTTCCTCTGCTTTACCAGTAAGCGAGTGAATAAACTAACACTTTCTTTCGTTTCTTTTAGCTATCTGTCACAATATTAGCTGTATCTCAATATCTGAAACTTGACTGAATAGCGCAAGATACCATTAAAACGAAAGAGAGTTTCATGGAATTATCCGGCAAGAGTGTGTAAAGTGGCTCACACAAAGTGAAGACAGCGTCTCAGAAATCTCAGTGAGTGATGTGCACGTCCATTGCGCTGACTGAAGGGGTGAGTTACAGCGATCGCCTCAACTGAATGCGGTGGTCAAGACATTAACGATGATCACCAAAGGCCATCACAATCACTACCATCAGGATCGAG